CCTGCTGTGTGCTTGTCAACAGATGGTGTAGTGGTGGTGGAGGGAGGGGAGAGGGGGGGTGAAGTAAAGCGTTTCTCAGTGGGAACACTCTTAGTGAGGCTAATGCACAGCATCCTAACCTTGACACAGAAAGCTGGTTTATCTCAGTGTGGTCTAACACAATGGAGCCGGAATGAGTTTGTGATGGTCCTTATCACAGCTGATTATTTTATGTTCTCTAAATACATCACATGATATGACAGAAGCTTATCTAAGATATAAAGTGACCCTGAACAACCTGAGCATTAATCATTATTTTCCCTTGATGCAGGCTTCATAACAACATAACCTAGCCGTTGTGCTAGAATGCATAACAACATAACCTAGCCGTTGTGCTAAGTTTCTGTAGTGCAACTGCTTTTGATTTTTGTCTATTTAATATTTTGAAAAAATTCAAATTCAAATATATTATTCAAATGAATATCAGTTTAAAGAGAGCTAAGATAAAATATGTATGTTTAAAGAGCATAATCATGTATCCAAAATTAAGGTGGTACTTCAGATGTTCAATTTAATTTAACGATTATTGATTAAAAATGTTACAAATTTGATAGGATGACATACAACCAGGAAGTTACACACTGTATATGTCATATATGCCAGAATAAGGACATGATTCAATAAAAGAACTGGCTGTGACAAGTACAAAGAGAATAGCTTAGCTTGGTTAGCTAAAAGACATGCTAGTTTGTAAGACATCTTGGTCTATATGTCTAAAAAGATGAGCATTTTAAAAACATGTTTTTTAAAAATCACTTGAACGTCCTGGAAGTTTACCAAAAACCAGTACACGCAGTAACCAAAATATAATGAACATTGTGTCCAGATTCAGATAAACATTATCCACACTTTGTTTTTGTGGAACATAGCTAGCCAAAACAAAGTGCTGATAATAGCGAATGAGGAGCCAAGACAAAAACATATTAATAAAACAGTAAAGTGACATGATCGTATCAATGCTTGTTTTTCATCCCAGAGCTGCAGGATGAGAAAAAGGAGGATCGTGATGATAATTCAACAGTCAATGAAAAAGACTACATCTATGAAAATGAAGTCCAGATCAGTCTGCCAGGTCTGTTTGGCTTTTTATGCCCATCACTATGTTACTGCAAGGTTATTTCAGTTGGTGTTCAAAAAAATCATATGCATCATGTTATAAAAAAAATATTAATTATATATTGCTATATAGATATTGAACATTTCCTATATATTAAATGTATTTGTTTGCTCTCTCCACAGAGTCTGACGGTCCAGGATTTGGACTGTTGAATACAACAAGAAAAGTATGTTTATTTTATACTGCACAATTAAATCAGTCGTTTATAACGTTTATCCTTCCTTTTAAGACGACTCACAGCATAAAATACTTCCAAACCTGTTATGGTCAGAAAAGCAACTTTTCTGAACACAGTTAAATTTGCGTTTCCGTTATTATATATTTAACACTAAGTCTTCTGGGTAGATTTGGGACTAAACTTCGAGATAATTTAAGTTTGCTCATTTTTTTAAAAATTCTGGCTACATTTTTCTTGTTTTTAGTACAATTTGCGTTTCCATTATTATATATTTAATTGTGGGATAACACTTAGGCTTCTGGGTAGATTTGGGACTAAACTTTGAGATAATTTGAGTTTGCTCATTTTTAAAAAAAATTCTGGCTACATTTTTCTTGTTTACTATTTCTGTACTGTATTGTATTTATGTATATTATAGTTACCTCATGGACAAGGGAAGCTAAATGTTAGCTCTTGGCTAACCTTTGTTTTGTTTTTTTTTGCTTTATTTCTTGCTTGTCGTTTATGGGTTAACTTTAATCCTGTGTAGCACGTCAAAGATTAATCATGTTTTATTCACTAACACGAATTTTTGCACTACTCTTTGATTCGATCTGTAACCAGTATGTGAAGCCGATGGATTTCCAGGAGGAAGTGCGTGCTCAAAGAGACCTGGACAGCTTCCTGGCTCAGGCCACGATACTCCTGAACGAGAAAGCAGCTACTCTGGACGAGGTTCTCAGAAATATGTTGACCAACATGATGAAGGATGACCTGGGGAGGTGCAACATGGACGCGATCATGAGCTCGCTCTTCACGGATGCTCGAGGAACAGAGTTTAACGGTAAGCAAAATTATTAATGGAGAGCTTTCATGTTCTTGTCTGATGATGTTCTTTATCAGCTGTTTAATTGTTTGGTTTTTTTTTTTTAGTTCAGCTACTTGCAGAGACCATTCAGGGTGTTACTGCCACTTCCACTGGAGTTCGCTATCAGCAGTCTTGGCTCTGTATTCTGTAAGTTTACTTTAAAACATTTCCAATTCATTTATCAAATTTGTCATTGGCCTGTTAACTGATTAAAACCTGTCTGATTTAGCTCCCATGTTCGGACTCTTCAGAGACGTCACGTTTGTGTCACACGTTTGGAGAGACCTCAGAACTGGGGAGACAACTGCTGCGAGGCTCGATACGTCATCCTCATCTTAGCTCCTCCTAGAACTGTAAACGCAAATGTTGCTTTTCTCTTTGTAACCTCGTCTGTTTGTATATTTCGCATATGAAGTTATTTATCGTTATCTAAAATTAGATACATTTGAACTTTTCCCATCATCCCCTTCTCAGAAAAGCACCAAGACGGCCATTGAACTGGGTCGAACCTTAGCCTCCATGTTCGCGGACATCTCCTTTAGACAAAAGCTTCTGGAAGCTCAGACCAAGGAGGAGTTCAAACAGGAGTTGGTCTACCAGAGACAGCAGCTGTCTGCGATCAGAGAGAAACCAGTAGTGGAGGAGGTAGAGGACTCAGATCCAAGGAAAGGGAAACCACTCCAGGTGAGATAGAGGAAGGTGAAGGGACGTCAGCTCTGAGGTTGTCTGGTCTTTGTTGCATTTAGGGAATTTAGCAAGGTTTTATCGTCCTTTCACTCGTCATTTTAATCAATTTAGAGCCACTTTAATATTTTTGTTTACGTGAATTAATCTATTTTAGCTCATTTAGTGTTTTATTTTAACAAGCTTTTATTTTTGGCTCAGTAAAAAGCTAGCCATTACATGTTGTATAACTTTACTCTTCCAATTTTCTTTGGATATTTTTTGCAATTATTTGCTAACTTTATTTTTTATTTTTTACTTGATGTTTATGTTCAGTTTTGATAGTATTTGAGAGTAACATCTAAGCTATCACTTAACTAAACGTATTTAGTATATAAAAAAGTGTTGACATACCACATGTTTAACCACTTCATTTACACTCACTTGTTCAGGATTAACTGATTATCTAGAACAGGGGTTCCCAAAGTGGGCGGCAGTGGGACACAGTGAAAAACTGTACTTCAGTTTACTATTTTACTTGACTCAAAAACAATCCAGTCGTATCCGTTTACTTTTTTCATTTAAAGATAATCTAGCAATGTATCAAAACAACAGGTCATTCAGACTCTGGTACTAAAAGAATAAAGTCCTCGGTACAAAAAAAGGTTGGGTGCCGAGGATCTAGAGAAATGAGAGTCATCCACAGTGACTGACTGGTAAGCCTAATGCAGTGAGAAAATCCAATACACTGTACATTATACATTAGAACAATAAAAAACTCTTTAAACTAATTTAACTCCTTAGAACAATAACAAACTCTTTAAACTAATTTAACTCCTTAATGTTACTAAATGTTAAAATTCGCGTTTTCCCCTTGACTTATTTTGTATAACATTTTTGTCTTCTTAACTGAGTATCTTTTTGAATATAGTGCTGTGAATTCTTCAAAGCCGGCAAAGGAGTTTATAATGACCTTCGACGCAGACTCCCCCTCTATCCCTCTGACTTTACAGATGGTACAATATTTTTTGCTGTACATGAAACATTGATCATTTTCTGACCTTCATGCTGTGCATATTTACCTAGTCTGCAACAAAACGTTACAGGCATCATTGGGGAGGATCGCTCTCTGCTCAAATACACAACCACGGCTATTTTTCTCTACATTGCCATTCTCCTGCCAGCCATTGCCTTCGGGTCACTCAACGATGAAAGCACAAGAGGAGAGATGGGTAAAAGCATTGGCTTCAACTGAAATAATTCGAGATTTTGAATGAATTTGTACTGAAGAGTTAAGAGTTGATTTTGCCTCCCTGTCAGATTTCCAGCACATTTACATGATGTGATTCTTTTCTTGCAGATGTTCAGAAGACTATTGTTGGACAGAGCATTGGAGGAGTGATCTATGCTCTGTTTGCAGGCTCACCACTGGTCATTCCACTGACCACTGCTCCCCTGGCTATATTCATTAGTGGTATGTGTTTGACGATAGTGCTACAAAAGAACTGAGTGTTTTAAAAGAAATATAACGATACACTTTCTGTTTAAGTTTCGTAAAAGAACCAGTAAATGAAGTGGTCTTTGCTATTGCTGCCAAAATGAAATTTTAAAAGGCATTTGCCTGAAACACTTTACACTGTAAACATCTCTGTCAACAACACCTGGTTTATAAAAGTGTCAGTACACTTGCAAATAGAAATTAAAACCTATTTGAGAGCCAAAGTATTTTATATTTTAATGATACCCCAACTAAATAATATAGCTGTAAATGACTAGCTTTGGAGCATTTTTTAACCTTAATATTGTAACCCACGTGAGCTCGCTTGGAATTTAATTTAGGGCTTCTGAAATGCCTCATAATTTAAATTTGATTTTAAAAAAGTTACTGATAAAAATATTTTTTCAACTCGCAACAAATTGTATTTTTTCACTTTCAGTTAAAATAGAATGCAAAATATAATGCAAAAATATTTGGCTGGAGCATTTTGATTGATGGCTGCAATCAAGCGACTGAAAAAATGTATTTGAGGTTGCCAGAAATTTCAGATGCCAAAAAAAAAGGTTAGGAAATCCATAATTAAATACGTCTGTTTTTGTACTCAACAGTCATCCGAGGAATCTGTGACGACTACAACTTGGACTTTGACGCCTTCTATGCCTGCATCGGTTTATGTAACAGTTTCTTCCTCATCCTGGGAGGTGTATTCAACGTCAGCCTGCTGATGAAACTCTTCAAACGGTGAATACTAAAATGAATCTACACACCTCTCTGACAAAACGAGTTAAAGTGACACGTTCCAGACTGAACAATCTGACATGACAACAAATCGTGTACAAACTATTTGTAACACTTTCTATTATAACAACTCCTAACAACCAATGTCACAAAAAAACACTCTCCCTCTCTTTCTTTCTCCCCTTTGCCCGGCACGTCAGCGAATAACATAATATGCAGCACACAGCATCACAACAACAAAGCTGACAAGTCGTGTAGACATGACCTCGTGGGCGGGCCTGTCCATCAGCCCTCTCTCGTGGCAGAGCAGAAGGGGCTGACTTTAAGACATATGCAAAGGTGGATAAGATCAGATAAGATCGGGTTCAACATAAAAGGATTAGACAATCGCTGATCCCATAAAATTAGGTAAATTGGTGCTGCGCAGGTGTCTACAAAGCCGCAGTGATATGAGTGTGAACAGCAGAGGCATTTAAAATAAATGGACTTAAATTACAGGGTTTCCACTAGAAGAAATCCACACTTGACAACATGACTAACATGTTTTCAATTTACCCTTTCAATTCTGACCAAATCTGTATTTACTGAACTTAAAATAATAAATGGTATGCAGGACATATATAAGAAAAATTTCAAAGCATGTCAATATTTTTTTTTAAATGAAAAGTATAGGCTGCATCAAATGAAACCAGTGTCATCAATACTTGAACATAAGGAAAGTGAAGACCTATTCTCACGTAAAACAATTTGCAAACAGAAAACACATATGGACTGGCTCATACCATTTTACGGTGTGTGTCACGTAAAAAAGTTTGCTCACTATATGCGATAAAAACTCTATAACAAAGCGAAAGAAAATCACTTTTTTTTTAAACACTTACATAGTTTTAGCAATGTTTTTAAACAACAAAGCACATTTTACCAGTCAATGTCCAGTAATTATCATACAACAGAAACCCAGATGATTTAAACTAAGTTTTTTTAGATTTCATTATAATCAAATTATTTGAGTTACTCGAATAATAGTTTCAGCACTATATTCAATTGTTAAAACATTATTTAAACTCATTTAGACTCACTTGGACTCATGATAAAACTGTATAATTAAGAAGAAATCGCCGTGAATCATATCGCAAGTTAGGTTTATCTTTATATTATTAAGCAAAAAGGACTCACATTTTCAGGGAGGATGGGAAGAACCAGGAATCTGCAACACCGCCCCACAGTTTAGGCCACGCAGATCACTATGCCACACAAAGATGCCAGTCATCAGGTAGATGAGGGACACTGAGCCGTCAGTGCTGTAGATGCCCAGGCGTCTGTTCAGTCCCAGAAATCGATGCTGCGCGTCCATCTATGCCTGGTTGAACAAAGAGGAGGGGGGGAAATGGTGAAAGATAAAAGACCACAACGTCACACAAACCTCTGGGATATTTTGTCAGAGTATCAGGCAGCTAGCCTGGCATAACATTTATAAAGCTAGCACCAAAACCCCTCGGTTACCCAAGTGCACACCTTACTGGATGAATGGAGTACTAAAAAAACTTAGTTCATTCTGCTAATGTTTGGCAATGTCCCATAGTTATTCCTTATTACAGTAAAACGCCACATATGCTAACTACACAGTTCACAACTGAATCCAATTTAAAATGTATTGTTTTAGGCCTTGTTTCTGATAATACATCATGAAGTGAAAACATTTGATTTATTAATAAGTGAATATTTGTCGACTAGTTGCCGACTAGTAATGTGCATTTAATGTTTATGTGATATGTGTGTTTTGTTTGCTCAAGTCAACTTTATGATTTTACAGCGTTATATACACAATGTTTCTTAACTGTAATAAATCAAATGTTTTCACTTCATGATGTATTATCAGAAACAAGGCCTAAAACAATACATTTTAATGTATTGTAATATTTGTGGACAAATATTTTTAAATATATATTAATTTATATTTAAAATGTATTGTTTTAGGCCTTGTTTCTGATAATACATCATGAAGTGAAAACATTTGATTTATTACAGTTAAGAAACATTGTGTATATAACGCTGTAAAATCATAAAGTTGACTTGAGCAAACTCCTGGAAGGGGCGTGATAAGTGATAAACAGACACATGTGTTATACAAATATTTTCTTATTGACAAGTCTCCACGGTTAAACAAGTCCATAAACATCAGTAAAAATTATATATGACTCTCTAGTTAGCTAGGTGAAAGCTAATATAGCTATCGTATCTATTACCATAGACCGGGTGGCCTAACCAAAGGCTGACTAGCAACCTGTTCATCACGTTAGCCGCATTAGCAATTTTAGCTAAACTCGCCAAGACTCTTCCAAAAGTGATTTACTCCTGGTAAACGATGTACAAAATCCTTCCACGTCTCCAACATAACTATCTTAAAGTTCAGTGTGCCATTCCTCCCGAAATACTTTAAAAAAATCAAACCAGGTAAAGCTTTTCATCCATTCCATTTCGCGGCAGTACCGGAGTGTTGTTGTTGTTGCTTTTTTTTTTTTTCCTGGAAGGGGCGTGGCCTCCCAATACTCCCCAGTCAAATAATTTTCGTTTCAAACTAACCAACGAAAAATAAAAAAAATGAGGATTTTAGCTCAATACTTCTTACTTGGGTTTTTTTTAATAATAAAATAATAATATTAGTTATTATTTATAGTTGTTTGTTTTATATACCTTGTTAAATTGACTTTCAAATATTCTTTGACCACCATTATAGCTAGGACAAGCAGAACAATAAAAAATTTCACTGTTTTTTTTTTTTCTAATTCAGCCTGAAGTTTTATTTTATTTCATTTTATTAGTTCCCTTAGCAAGTGCTGGTGTATTGTGATTCTTTTTAGCTTTCCTCTTGCACAACTCAGATGTGTATTCAAAACAAAACAATATAATAGTAGGTGTTATATTTGATTTGACCAGACAGAGCCAGCAGCACAGAATGTGTTTTGTATTACAGAGGCTCAGCTGAACATTTTTCACAGTTGCATTAAAGGAGCCCCCCATCAAGTTCATTTCAAAAGCTATTCTAGACATTTCAAGGACAATTTACCTCGAGCCTGCTTTTGTTTTCTCACCCTGCCGCGAGCTAAGTGATAAACAGACACATGTGTTATGACTTCCTGTTTAACATGAATAATGTTGAATGTTCACTGCTGCTATTATAGCAATCATTTGGCCTTGAATGGACGGTTGTGTCTGCAGGCGTATTAGACTAAAAACAACGTTGAATGATCACATGGTGTTTTCTTTTCTTCCCATTATCGCTCAGCTCGACGGAAGAAGTCATTGCATTGTTCATCTCCATCGCTTTTGTGGGGGATGCAGTGAAGGGCACCATCAAAAGTGAGTGGGGCCGAGGTCAGACTACATCGAACATGTTGTAAATGATTCCGCGGCTGAGCCGTCACCTCTGCGATGACACGTAAAGGTCGAGGCTGTCGTTTGTTATCGGTGCAGCATAAAAGAACGCGCACACGTCGTGTCTTTGGAGAGATGCAAGCATGAAATCCCACCAGACCGCTTGTGTGACTGTGTTTGTTTTGGTGTCTCTGCCCACTGACTGATGCTGCATTTGTTATTAGTTGATCTGTGAGGGTTTATCATATCAATAGAATAAACTGTGTGATTGTGAATGGTTGTTTGTCTCCATATGAGACTCATTGATTGGACAACTCCTTAAGATGCGTCTCCTCTGCCTCATAGCTACGGCCCCACAACAGATTATACTGAATTTGAAACAGTACTGATAATTTACCTTAGTTTTAGAAAGAGATATTTTTACCGAACAGATTATACTGCATTTGAAACAGTACTGATAATTTACATTAGTTTTAGAAAGAGATATTTTTACCGTTTTTAATTATTATTAATGACAATATTAACATGCCTCTGAATCTCACAGTTCAAAAGTTATGATAAAAAATTTAAAAGTGCTGGAAAAGTTTAAAAAAAAAATTGCAGTATTGTACCAATAATGCAATTATATTTTGCATATTAATGAAGTTACCCTAGAAATATTCCCCCATTGGGAAGAATGTCAAATATGTTAAATGACACAATTTGAAAATAACATTTTGTGTTGTGTCTCCTGTGTCTTCCACTCTTTAGTTTTCGAGCACTACTACCTCGGACCCACACTGACCACAACAAACAGCTCGCTGGTCCTTCAGCAGATTAGTGAGATTCTGCAGACGGCTAACAATCAGACAGGGGATGCGATCCCACCCACCGAGGGACACCTTTCAGTTCTGCTGCCCGAGTCTTTGGTGCTGTGTACGAGAGAAAGACCAATCCTGTGTCTGCTGCTCATGTTAGGAACTCTGTGGCTTGGTTACGCCCTCTATCTCTTCAAAAGGGGGTACAGCTTTTCTTTCTGCTTCTTCTAATCTTCTGTAACTGTAAACAAAAAGTACCACTTGATTTACCTATTGATGTATGCTTGTCTACACATCATCTGCACACCATGCAGCTATTTTTTGTCAAATGTCCAACCAGGCTTCTGCTACGCAACTGCCTTATTACGTCCTCCAATGCCTTTTGAGGAGATAAGACTTAAACATCTTCCTCAAATAGAGCTATATATTAGCCAAAATGAGCTAATTACAGTCAGTCCAAATCCATCTGTGACAAACTATAGTCTCAGTAACTTTAACAGATGACGTCAGAGCTAGAAATTGTTCAGTTATTTCCAACAGATTAAATGACAAGTCTGTGTCTTCCCCCCACAGCCCTTATCTAAATGACACAGTCAGAGAGGTGGTGTCAGACTGTGCTCTGCCCACCTCCGTCATCATCTTCTCCTTCATCGGCTCCTACCTGTTCCTGGACATACCGCGTGAGTTATAAGATATTTGTTTCTATTAATATTATTTTTCTTTCCTTTTAATGTAGCAAAAACAGATTCAAGTTACCAAGGTTGTCAGTCCCCGTCACCGTGTCTGCTTTAATCCCCATGTTAACAACAATATATCATAACAGTACCAGGACCATGACGCGCCACTGGTGTAAAGAATACTGCAGGGGGCGCCCTGACTTAATCTGAGTTTCATTTCTACAATGCTACATAATTTGTATTTCGCCTTTTCAATTTTTTTTGGAAACAAATCAAACTAACATAAGAGTGAACCAGATTTTAATGTTGGATTTTTGCATAAATTAAGAACTATTACATATTTGACTAACATAAGGTTGAGTGCAAGAACCTGGTTGTGATATGTTCGTAAACCTGGTGGTAAAATTCCAGTTTCAATTTGACCATTGTTTGTAATTTTCTTTTTTTGGTTTCTGTTTTTCCATTCAGTTCCAGTCTTTAGTGTCCACGATCGTCATTTAGTTCCAGTCTTTAGTGTCCACGATCGTCCCATCTTCAACTACCCACAGCTTGATAAGCTTTCAGGAATGAATGCCCTCAGTGCGGTTGGTCTGGGTTTTCTCCTGGCTCTGCTCATCTTCATCGACCAGAACATTGTCATCTCACTCACGCACGTTCCAGAACACAAGTAAGAGCAAGAGTTGACAATCTGATCGAACGAATGACCCGCGCCAGGTGTAGATATCATCTGTTGAGTCGTTTGTTTACTTCCACAGGGACTTAGACACTAAATCAGCATTCTTCACCTTGGTTAATTGCTCTGAAGCATCTTCTCTTTTACAGCCCGTCGTATTTGTTTTACAGGTGTCTGAATGTCTTTATTAAACTCTTAACGTTCTTCTCTATTGTCGCACAGCTTCCGTCGTAGCTCGTATATATCAGAAGTTGTTGCTACATCAGGTTTTTCTAACTCGGTGAAACTGCGTATGTGTGTGTGTGTGTGAATGAACCAGGCTGCTGAAAGGCACCGCCTTCCACTGGGACCTGGTTCTGACCGGATTGATCAACATCCTCATGTCCTGTCTGGGTCTGCCGTGGATGCACGCCGCATTCCCACATTCCTCCCTTCATGCCCGACAGCTCGCCAAAACAGAGCAGCACGTGGAGAACGGACACCTCTACACCACGTGAGTTGATGAAGCGGGGTGGAAGATGAAACCTCATCTGACCGGCTTTGTGTGTAAAGCCTGATCACTTTTCAACTGCTCTGACATACTTTTCAGCTGTTTACTACTCTGGGCCTTATTCGACCTATTTGTGATGCAACTCTTAGAAAATGTTAGCCATTTTAACTAACTTTTAATCATACCAAAAATCATATTTTTTGTATTAGGCACACTGCTGCCTATTTGTTAACCTGGAACTAGCTAAGGACTCGTTAGCTAGCTTTGACAACTTTTATACATTTTCATTTTAACAGTAATACTGTGGTTCTCAAACTTTTTTAGTCATACCTAGCTTTGACGAAATTTCGACGAATTAGACAATTTTCTAGCCCTACCTGCCTCTGAAAAAAACGTAATAAATTACAAATGTATTGAACTAATACCTATAGTAACATCATATTTTATTTTAATGAATAAGGAGTAAACAAAAGTGAAGATTTCCTTCCATATTATGTCTCTGTTCCCTACCAGTGGGGCCCGCCCCACACTTTGAGAATCACTATTTTAATAATACCATCCTTATTCTATGTATTTTGACTTTGTACTACTCTCAGGGCCATGTCTCCATTTACTTTAACTGCTACATTACAACCATTTTAGCTAGCTTTTGGACTAACGGAAATATGCAATTATATAATTTGTTTGCCTAAATAATATATATATTTATATAACACATCTTATTTTTTGTGTTACAGCATCGTCTTTTATCTTATTTTTTGTGTTACAGCATCGTCAGCGTGAAGGAAACGCGACTGACGGCTCTGGCGGCCAACATCTTCATCGGCCTGTCGACCTTCATGCTGCCTGTTCCTCTGCAGTGGATTCCTAAACCCGTCCTCTACGGCCTTTTTCTTTACATCGCAGCCACATCCCTGGATGGAAATCAGATGGTGGATCGTATGTGTCTGCTACTCAAAGAACAGGTGAATTCAAATGGTTTTAGTTGGATTCAATACCAGAGTTTTCTGCAATGCTATGTAAAATGTCTGACTTGGCGTATTACATTGCATTTACCAGCGGTGGTTGGAATTGAAAAGAGAATCATGTGTTGAGTTAGAGGCTCATCACCGATTCAGCAGGTTACAGGAAGTTGACTTTTAGTGGAAGGTCATCGGTTTGATCACAGGCTTCGAAAGGACACCAGTTGTTCATGATGCACAACCACGACAGGCTACAGTCCATGTCCTTTCAGTGCCTGTCACTGTGGGAGGATTGCATCAGAAAAAGGGAACATGTTCTTTCCTTCCCATTAATTCAGTCTTTTACATGCAGCTCAGCCTTCTTTTGCTCTTCAACCAAAAAGAACCTCATCTCATTTTCATGTTTCTACGTCTAGACGTCCTATCCTCCCACGCACTACATCCGTCGCGTGCCTCAGAGGAAGGTCCACTTCTTCACCGGCCTGCAGATGACCCAGCTCATCATTCTGTGTGCATTCGGAATGTATCCTCTGCCCTACATGAAGATGGTCTTTCCGCTTCTGATGATTCTGCTCGTCCCTGTGAGGTAAGGTCACCTGAGGCCAACACGGGCAGAGAGGAGAGCATAGAGTTTACCACATAAAAGCCCTGCGTGCACCAGGGACACAGTGAGCAAGGTCGAATTAGACCAATATCCTGACAAGGGCATTCAGGTTTTTCATTACTATACAATAACCTCTATCAGATTTGAATAAAAAATGTCCTACATACATACATATATGCATACATACATATACATATATAAAGATGGGGGTAAGCAGGGATGGTGTCCCCTTTTGAGCAAAATGAACAAAATGCACACCCTTTACATATACAGTACATACATATGTACGTATATATACATATATGTAAACATATATGTATTTACAGTATACACATATATACATACATATTCTACACATATATGTATTTACAGTATGTACTTTATATATATACATACATATATGTACACATATGTAAACATATGTGTATTTACAGTATATACTGTATATATATATATACATATATGTACACATATATGCTTTTATAGTATATACTGTATATATATATACATATATGTACACATATATGTATTTACAGTATATATGCTGTGTATATATTTAAATAAACCAGAGGGGTGCACCTTGTTACGTATTTCCCTTTTAAACTATGTTTCTTTGTTGAAAGTCTACATGACTAAACGTGTCTTCTGTGTCTCCGTGCAGAACCAGCCTTCTTCCCAGAATGATCGATGCCAAGTACCTGGACATCATGGATGCCCAGCACATGTAAAAACACTTCCTGTGTTGAGTTAGGGTATGAATACCAATAATCATGGACTTTTATTTACTATCAAATGTGGCATAGAGAAATGTTTCTGTTGCATCAGTATCCACTTTTTATTAACGGACTTCAAAACACACACACACACACACATTCCTATTCTGATGCAGTTGCAGACAATACAATTGACCAAATGAAGTACAATTTATGAGAATCTTTCAACCTCAACCTACGCCGTTATTTTGTAAGAAAGGAATGGACAAGGCTGTTTAGTCCTAAAAGTGAATTTTTGGAAGTATACCTAAAGTAGTATTGGACCAATAGGCAGAGACGCCACCACCAGTAGTATCATCTGGATACTACTGCACATTTCAAAGTACCAAGTGAAAGACACAAAAATGTAGTTTACATTATGTGAAAGTACAGAGGTTTCATCTTTTCCCTGTTTTAAAAGACAACTGTTACAACATCAATATGAAAATGAAATATCCTACCATCAAGGCAAGCAACAATAAAAACATTAGCTGTATGAAATGTTTGCAAGTAAAAACCAGCTGCAGACAGCCTCTGTATTCACTGTAATTGTAACTTGTGTTGTCCTAGACTGTGGTTTACCGTTGTCCTCACAGTAATGGGTTCAGCTGGGCAAAACATTTATCTTCACTACCAGACAAAAGACCGCGTAAACACATCGTTAGTTACCACAAGTCAAACCAATGCCATTTATTTTGTATATTTTTTTAATAATATGGACATTTCAGTTTGTGTTTGAAAGTTTAAAGATCATTGTGTTTGTAAAGATGTAATTCTATCAATTATATATTTTCAATGATTGTCTGACTACACAGTAGACGATACGTTTTTCTCACAGTTTTCACAACAGGAACGTCTAATGATTGCCTCCATCTCTTGCTTTTGCGTCCACACGTATGTTCAATCTTGGTGTACAAAAAGGTTTCTACTGTATAAATGTAACTGTATCTTTTCACTTAATTAAACCAGGCTGTGACGTGGAGCTCTATTTAATTCAGCAAATAAAGAGTTGCGTTTCTTTTTGTCTGTTGTGCACGGCCTTTGTCACTGAGTTTAGTACCGATCATTGTATTAACCCAGTGCATATCACTACATCACTACATTCAAGGCATCAGCTGTTCACATTCAACTCCAGCACTTGATGCCGCCAGCTGATTGGCTGATGAAGCTTTCATATTCATAGGCAGGTAAATAGATTTACTTCTATCTATCATCTATATATCTGTCTATCTACTTCTATATATCTGTCTATCTATCCAACCATCCATCCATCTATGTATCTGTCCGTCCGTCCATCCTTCCATCCATCCATCTATGGTGTGCTTATGTTCCTCTTACCCTTTTCTCTCTCTAGAATTAGTTGTATATGATTGTGAGTATTGTTTTAATCATAATATTAAAAACAAAAAACATTTCTATCAGTATTTCTTTACAATTTCAGAGGACCCTATGTGGAGTTGGGACCCCCAGGTTGAGAAACACTGCTCTAACCTGCTCCTTATAAAGTGATTCCCAGCTTCACTTTGTTTTTTTTCTATCTATTAACACCATGGTGACATTCATTAAGGGGTCAGGGGGTCAAAATTATTTTGGTTCAGGGGCCACGTACAGCCTAATTAGATGTCAAGTGGGCCGGACCTATACTTGGCAAAAAGTCAATTTTTTACTCTATTGTTTTCATGCAAATATATAAATATATTCGAAAATATTGATATTTATTGAAATATAACATGACATGTTGATGCGTCTTTTTAATTTCAAAATTCAACAAGCTGGGCGGAATCAACCCCCTCACAGGCCAGGTATGGCCCACGGGCCGTATGTTTGACACCACTGAGAGAACAAGAACAATGTTTTTCTATTTCTGTTTGTCCAGCTTTACCTCCCAGCCTCCACAGTACGTCATTGTACATTTACGTGAATAAATCGAGACGGTGCTTCAGATGTTTCCGTTTCTCAAACGTGGCTTGGCCTCAGTCGCACACTTCACGTTTTGTCTCCTGAGACCAGGACACCACTGTCCAACTGCTCTCAGACTTCTTTAAATGCCACTACCAGACTGAGTGTCACAAAGCTTTTACACAGAGTGGATTCTGTCTGTAATCCTTCAACCATGAAGACCTGAGCGACGTCGAGATGAGGTTTCAAAGCAGAACTGTTTTTTATTACTGAGAGTTCTTTTCAGGCTTGCGGCGGGGGGTGCTGTCATCTTTCTTTCTTTTTTCAAATTAAAATCCTATGACTCTGAAGTTGACATTGTTAAAGCTCATATGTCCTAGTTTTGTAGTGAAAATACAGAAAGTCACGTTTAAAAAAATACAAATTTTGTCACAAAGATAAAAAAAAATGTTATTTTGTTCTGCCTGCTACTGACTGAGGAAAACAAATCCAAAAAGCAGACAGAGCATTAAAATGAGACACACCACAGAGTGACTCCTCACTCATATTCGTCCTTGTTCTCAAGGTGGACTTTACAGTAAATT